GCGCTGTGACGTATGTGGCCGACAAATTCGACCTTCGGAGGACCCGTCCTGCCGTTTTGGACACAGCCAATGAGAGCAGATTGCGCAGGTTGGAATGGACCATGCTGAGGCCCTAAAGTTGTATCTTATTGGGCTGCGACTGTTGGAGACTAGTTGGTGACTCCAAATTACAAGAAAAATAGACACATTTTCAGTTGTAATCCCACTGAAATCTACATGTTTGCAATTGTGTTTCTTGTGGCCAGTTTTTAAAAAATAAGTTTATTCTTGAGTGCATTGCTAAAGTAGTCTAGGCTGTGAACGTTATTTGGTTGTCCACATAAAACCCAGCAGCTAAAGCAGGTTGCAGCTTTAGGCTCTATATGGTGTAATTGTCAAAAGGACAGCAAGGAAGAGTGTAATGGTGTTATATAAATGTAGAAATTAAAGAAATGTAGGTTTTGCAAACTAAGTGTGGACAAAGAAAAATGGTTTTATCTTGTTTTTGTCTTGTTTGGTTCCACATGTTGGTGTGAGTCTGCACTCTTAGCAATAAGTGTGGTAAAAAAGTCATATTGTGACCACTGAGCAAATGAAAATTTAAGTCAGTTACTTAGATACACAAGCAGACAATTGTAGGCAAACAGTGCTTTTCTGTTGGTTATAAGTTGGAATCAAGTTTAACAAGTTCTTCTAACCCTTTAACTTGATCTAGACATTAGATTTGGACTTTTGAATATTTGAAAACTCCTGGTTTAGAAAATAGTGTTTGCACAAAGCACCATCACATTTGTGTGATTCACGTTGTTTTAAGATGGAAGTAATCCAATTTGATCTTGTCCCCACTTAGACTAGCTCATCTAATTTATTTTTCTCTGAAGTGAAGCTGTTCAAAGCGCTGTCTCAAGCAGGTAAGGGATTAATTGTTCATAACATTTCAGAGCTCAACTTACCGTATACAACATACACCCTTCTTCTCCATCATCTTTCGTTTTGTTTTTCATTTTCTTACAAAGCCTACTCAGTTGCTCTAACCTATAAATAAGGGGCCGAGTTAAATGCACAAACATGGCCTCTATCACCTCTTGTGTTTTTTGTTAAAAGAAATACTGGCCTCACTTCTAGTAACGAACTGCTGCGAGTATTTACCACCTCAAAAGCTGTTAATTTTGAGAAGGTCAGCAGCGGGACCGATAACCTTGGAATAATGTGGGAACAAAGTGGAAATATGTGGGTGGAAACACAGAAAGAATTATGTGAGGTGTTGGTAGGTTGCACTACAAATAATTACTGTCTCCTTTTCATTTCAGCCGAAGCATTCGTTGAACTGCTGCACTGTTTTTGTACGAGACCAGACCACATTGGCCTCACGCGCTGGTAATACGTTACATTTATACACACATAAAATCACATCTTGTTAATTTGGCTGAATAAAGGGCTAATTCAGCTGTATGTTTCTACTTAAAAAGTTATTCCCCCCCCCCACCAGAACATTTGCCAAGAGAACTGAGCAGTGGAGAGAGGAAGAGTTTGTACACAGCCTTGTGAAGAGGTTTAATCAGCCACCTGTGCAGGGTTATTGGAATTGTTTTATCTTGATTAAAATGACATGGTGTTCAGATTTATTCACACGCTGCAGCGTTTCAAACAGTCCTATAAAAGCGGCCCATTTTAAAGAAAGAAATTGTGGACGCTAATTGAGCCGACGCTTGGAAAGGGGGGCGGATGTAGCCTCAAAGTCCCACCTCACTTCAAGGCTTGCTGTGTTCTTCTCACATCTATTCCACCGTGCATTTTTGCATAATGGGTTTACTGCGCCCAATTTTCTCTCTGAGCTGCTTTGCAAATTATTGACTTGCAACCAACACTCGAGTGGATAATATCTTCCTGTTTTTTTATTTCTTATTTTTGTGCATTCATTATTTATTGCGTCTGTGTTTGTGTGAGGGTTAAATCGAATGGTATGTGTCTGTGCTTGTGCTATAAATAGAGGCAGTCCCAGAACTCCTGCTTGAGTGACAGGACTCCTCTCCCTGACACGCAAAGATGATTCCCCCCCACCCCACCCCACCCCCCAAAAAAGTCACCTACTATAAAAAAGGTATTTCAGTAAATCCCTTTTTTATTTAAATAAAACTAAATCCTGAATAAAACCTCTATATATTTTGTATGTTATTGTTTGTTATAATCAGTACAAGTGAGACATAAAAAAAAACCTTGAGTCTGGTACAATATGCTACTGTTCAATGCCATGATCAGATTCACTACATTTTTTTTTCTTCCTGCCTGTTTCTCCCCTTCACCCTCCGTCTTTTCACACTGGAACAACGAGCATCTGTTTCCATTTTTCTGTGATTCCGCCCCTATGTGAAAGAGCACAGACTCGCTGCACAACAGGGCAACAACACTTCAAGCACACACAATGTAAACACTGGTCGTTGGAAACTAAATTAAAACAAATGTTCCCAAGCACTTTAAAATGCCTGACCATAGACTGCGATGCCTTTTTCAGATAAGCTTGTGTTTTGAAGGTGGAGTGGGGAGCTCAGATGCAGGGATGTTTTTGGAGCAAATCACACAGTTGGAAAGCAGCGACTCTGGAACATTACATTTATTTGTATGGCTTTTTTTTCCTATATGAGTGTGTTTTTACACACATTCCAAGGACGGAGGAAAAGTAGTGCTCTTTTGAGCCAAAAAGATGTAGAAAGGAGACAAGTCTGGATCCATGTTGCTTGTCAGATTGTATCCATTGTAGAGAGCTGAATGCTCTTCCTAGTTTTTGATCTGAACTTCTGTCAGCCAAGTCTCCTATTGAGACGAATCCCGCGGGACTTTATGACTTCTTAAGAATATATTCTGCTTTCTTCAAGAAAGTAGTGAGGTTTTAAAATTTAGAGCTTTGCAGCTAAAAATGAGAGATGCACGAGAAGACACTAAGAAATGCTGAAAGAGGAAGAGGGTATAACATTTCATCAACTTGTAAAAAAAAATAACTAGGATGAGTCCAAAAGTTAATAAGTCCTAAATGGTTATCCACTGATATTGTAATTGAAGTTTCATTAAAATACATTCAGTGGTTTAGATGATAGTTTGGTAACAGAGTTGATTCCAGTAGGTTATGACGAGCTTTTAAATATCTTGCTTGATCAACTTGTGCTCAAAGTGCAGCCTGGGGATCACTTTCAGCTACTACCAAACCCAGTTTTACCTCGATATTTAGTAAAGTGACTGAGTTGTAATTGTTGTTCGTTAAGATTAATGGCCATTTTGAACTGGTTTGACTCTAAAAGTTGATCACTTGTGGATACATACAATGATTCCTTTCCTTTCCTTTGCACACAGACAAGAGTAAAAAGGGATTAGGTTGTTTAGTAGCAGGCGATAACAAGAACTAAGCTGTCAATATAATTTACACTCATTTGCTGTGATTTCTAATTGTAGGGACATGCTTTATTAACCCTATGAGCCACTCCAACAATATTAAGTGTTTCTATTTTAGGTAGCTGGCTGGATAAAACCAGTACAAATGTCTGCTCTAAATAAAACAGACATTTGGATTCCCACATGCCGCTTCTGTGAATATTTTCTTGTAAATTTCAGTGCTGCTGAAATGGGATGTCTCTTTGCATACCAATGAAACATATTCATATGTAGATTATCAGGCTGGCAGTGAGGTTTTACTTGCACGCTTGTTTTGTAAAGCTACTTTTTCTGGAATTTATGCATGATTATTGCTTCTAGATGGTCTTACATGGTTTTTTTTTAAAGAGGAATTCATAACTCTTTACTTTTTTACTCAACAAAGTGGAGTTACAATGTAGAGCTTTGGTGATGCTGGTCCTCATCTCATCAAGCACTAAATAAGATTTAAATATAAATTTTGTAATTCAATTTTAAAATATATCACGATGTTGAGATCATAATTATTTAATTCCCTCCTTTTCTCATGATTATTTTAATCTATTTTTTTGCTGTCTTGTCAATAGTAAAATCTAGCAAGCAACTTTGGTAAGCTGGAAAATCTATGCCGCAAGGAATTTGCCTCCTCTTGATGCAGAAAAGAACACAGAGTGTCTTTCTGCAAGGAACAAGAAGAGCATTTAACAAATCCCATAGAAAAATCCTCAAAAAACTCAGGTCCTTTGATTTTTTTTCTTCTTCACCCCAGTAAATAGCTTTCCACTACAAGGTTTGAGACTGCCTTTGAATTTGTGGTTTGTGATCTTAATGAGTAAAACCATTTAATAATGACTCGGAACATATTTACCACAACATTTCAAGCTAGCCTTCTATWTAAAGCAAGGATGTTTGTTGAAACACCCCACATTAATACATGAGGTTTATTATGTGAGTTGTGCATTTGGAGCAAGAACACACACATACACACTGGAGGAAAAAAAATCAAAGGCAACATGTGGAGGTGATGGATGTTGAATTCTGAGATTGTCGTGTCTTTTTATGGGGGTCTTTGTTTGGCTGTAAAAGCCACAAAAATTTTTACCACAA